GAAGGAATAGGTCAACTGAAAAATCTACCTAATCCAGACTAGAACCCGCGACCTTCCTGCTTTTAGCATAGTGCCTCAACCAACTATTCTACCTCGTGCCCCCATCGAAATTCTGTAAATCTCTTAAATTTGTCCACAAAAATCAGTGTGACATGTGGGCTCATTGCTAAGGAATGCGATGAGAGACACGTTTCCATGTAAACGAATATTCAACAGACATTTCCTAGGATACTGATGAGCTACATAAGTGACCATTCAGATAAGAACTGAGTGAATTGCAGTAGAAAGGAGAACTAAGTCAGTGGGAGCAGAAGACAGAAACCATGAGATCACAGCAGAAGACGACTAGAACAGAAGTCAGTCGTAGTTCAGTCAGAATGGAGAGAGTTTTAGGCAGCCATTTATTGTGAGTAATTGTAACTGACCGTGATTACGAGTGAGTGTACAAGAAGGTGTTAATAAATCCAATAATCCAATCCAAACCCCCGTTATTATTAGTCACGGAGCAATAAACACTTGACAATATTAAAATGTGTGTAAATGAAAGGCATATCAGATGGTGGAGAATAACAGAAAATTAATATATGTTTAGAGTAGATCTACGCAGGTACCGGGATAGCTCAGTCAACAGTAGCGAGGCTACAGGTTGGAAGGCCTGGGATTCGGTGTTTTGTTTTCTGGCAGTCGCGGGGATATTTTTATGCTTCTCCACGGCGTTCAGCCTCCTAGCATTTGGTGCCGGGCGCTGTTTACTGAGTTAAAGCAGCTCGAACATGAAGCTCAGTTCTCAAATTCCCTAGTGCCAAAGTTAAGAATGCTTGGATTTATATCTCCACTCCACCATATGTCTTCATGTCATGGTACTTAATTAAACTGTGACGGAATTTTTATTTACCATATTTTACACACACACACACACACACACCGTTACTGTAGTATATAATTACATATGTTTTGGGATACTGAACATAGGACCATGAGGATTCTCTTAGCGGTCACACTTCTTGTTCACATACCTATGATATCGTGTCCTTCATCCTGGTAGCGATAGAGATTCTGTAATGCTAGACCCATTCTTTGCAATTTGTGTTGTGGGGTCAGCATGCGCGGCACCCATCGTGCACAGACTTTGTGAAAACCTAACCTGTCCTGCATTATGAGGTAGGCCATGCCGTGTGAACACGCCTGGTTCCGACAGCAGCCCAAAGAATTTTATGCTGCTGTTTTCAGGGACTTGTGAAATGATGGGACAAGTGCCTCAATGTACAGGGAGATTGTGTTGAGAAATGAAAGCATTTTTCAAATCAGTACTCTTATTTGCTTTAGTTCTATATCCATTTGTAACTTATTTGACTTACCCTCGTATATTGTTACGTGTAGGGCGGTACGCTTGCCGAAAATAACGGGTTATAGTTGGTATGACTGGATTTATTAGCACTTAGGTTACACTCTCTCTCTTAATTACAATTAGTACAGCGCTGTCGGGTTGCACACGCACTAGAATTCTCTGTTTCCACTAGTTGTCTCCTGGCAACGGATTTCAACTCAGAAACTAGCGCTTAAAATCACTATGAAATCTTGTTATTTCGTGTTCAGTCACTGTGTGCTCCTCTGCCCTAAGCTGTACTCAATTAATCTTCGCAATTCTACATGGATATGCTCCATTCTTCTCCTTGAACTCTCAACTGCTGAAACCTCCTCGACTCCTTTTCCGTGACGGCTTGACTAACGGCTTCACAGCTATGACTGCAAACGACCTACAATGTCCTGTATAAGTCTTCTGCACGGGCACCATTGAAAACACATATTGTAAACGTGTTTCAGTTCTCTTGCTTAGCATTGGGCATAGCGCGGGCCACACTGAAAAGAAGTCACATGCTAGCTATCTCACCAGTCCATTAGTGTGCTGACTGTTACCTAACAATGGACTCTTTTCCAAGAGACTGCCTTCGCGAGAACTTGTTTACCAGCCCGTTGCCTAGCAATGGGTGGCATATTTTCGTAGGCCAAAATCTTAAATTATTGTGTCTGCATCTCGCATCGCCGATAACTGTTCTTGAGCAAATTGTCTTGGAATTTATTATGTGCATTAGCTTAACTTAAGAAAATTAGAATAAATAATAATAAAAACATTTCTATTTCGCTCGCGGACCAGACATCGAAACGAGCTATTGCGTGACACAAATTGCTGTTCAAAGCAATATCTGCCATGTCAACGTGTGTGGCGCTAGTGGTGGAATTCGATCTCACCACAAGGGATCTGAACCCACGACCCTTGAGGGTCAGGGGCATGTACAAACAGGCTGCCTTGTTTTCCCTGGGGTGTGGGAAGCGTAGCAGCCATCCCAGATGTCACTGCATGCTGTGACGTGATGCAGGCTGCTGGTTTGGGTTGGCGGCCCACTTCCAGCGATATACCTCGGTTTCGTCTCAGGTCTACAGCAGTGCTCATCTGCGGTCTTGACATCATAGCTGAAGTACTCCAGTTCGTACTTAATATTTTGTTAAACTTAAGATGTGCAGTCACATGAAAGTTAACACAGCTGGGGTGGTCAGAAGGAGGTACTTGGCACAGGCGTAATGTGTCTGCTATTCTGGGACATGCCAGGTTCGGATCCAAACGAGGAACCGGATATGCAGTGATCCTCCGCCCCCTGTCTCCAACGTTATTGCTGGAACTGTATCTTAAGTTAGGCCACAGACATCTTCCACTTCCTTTCCAATTCACCATTATCAGTCCCTCTACTACGAGAACCAGGCTACGTCCACATTGCCTAGGCGACCTTACGGAAGCGGCGTCCACTGTGAATATACTCGAATTTCTCAAAGGCACATGATTACCGGAAGTCTATGTTTTTTTATTGCTAGTGGGATGGGACTAAGTCCCTTGCACTGCGGCCACTTCTGGCCTATTGTCCCAGCCCCAGATGATAGGTGAGGGTGATTGTGGAGCAACTGGTGGAATGAAGATTGGCAGAGGAAACCGAAGGACTCGGAGAAAACCTGCCCCAGTGCCAATTTGTCCACCACAAATCCCACTTGACCTGATCCGGGATCGAACCCTGGCCTCCGCGGTGGGAAGACAGCGACTAACCGCTTGAGCTATGGCGCGGCCGGAATTCTATGTTACAAATAAAATGTAGTAAGTTCCTGATTATGATGTAATTGNCCCTTTGTACTGCGGTCACTTCTGGTCTATTGTACCAGTGCTGGTGCTATTGCTAGTGGGGTGGGACTAAGNATGGCGCGGCCGGAATTCTATGTTACAAATAAAATGTAGTAAGTTCCTGATTATGATGTAATTGCCTACATCACCAGCTGAGAGTGACGCATCCGTTTCCCACAGTAGGCCTGAAGTACTCAGTCGATAGAGTGTAAGTATGTAAAGTTATCCCTATGCTTAACTAATTAAGCACTAAGCCATGAAGACATATGAGGGAGTCGATGTATAGATCACTGTTTACTTGACCTCGGCACTAGTTGGAGGTCAGCTTCACCCCCCGGCCGCTTTACCCTAGGGAAATTGTCCTCCTTACCCATTTGACTGGAGGCTGGCTGGGCCCCCAAGGCCGGTCTGGACGACATGGAGAAGTGAAAATTCTTGCCCCCACCCAGAATCGAACTCCGATTCCTTGGTCGTCTAGCCTGTAGCCAGTCTTTATATATCGATTGCGCTGTCTGTAGTTAAATAAATACATAAATTAAAACATAATAGCCTGCATGATTGGAGGAACTGATGGATTCAAGACAACAGTAACATTATCAGCCGGAACATAAGGCGAGATTCTTTTTTCTTCAAACACTGCTTCTCAGAAAAAAGGGGTCGCCTTATTTTCGAGTCCTTGAGAATGAATATTAAGGGATAAGATTGTGAGTATTCCTAATTGCTAACATTACTGGTATTCGTGAAAATATGTCTAATTGTAGTTAATGCACTGAATTTTGAAATTATTATTTCTTAATGGTAGTATAGGTTTTACTTACTTTTGTTCACAATTTTCAGAATTAAAACATGTTTAGTTTTGTATAAATAAAACATAAACAGTGGATAGCAACATATTCAGGCTTACGTGGTAGATTTAAGCTCAGCAGATATAACTTTCCTTTAGTTTAGGCCTTTATTCGGAAGAGCTATATTCAGATAGCAATTAGAAGTTTTATAGTCACTGGGCGTTACGTATAGCGACGGTATGCTTAAACAGGCTATTAGATAGAGTGGGAATTGGGACATTATACATCTCCTATTTATATTTCAAAACACAATATTTCGATGGCTGAATTCTGTCTCCGTCTTCAGGGATTAGCTCTATCGATTGAACTCGGGTAATGCTTGCTACCATTCAGTCCAGAACCTTTTGTCTTCTCGTCTGCTGTCCAAGAACATAAAAATTAGAATATACAAAACTATAATTTTCCCGGTGGTTCTGTATGGGTGTGAAATTTGGTCTCTGACATTAAAGGAGGAACAGAGACTGAGGGTGTTTGAGAACAGGGTGTTGAGAATATTTGAACCGAAGAGAGATGAAGTGACGGAAGGTTGGAGAAAACTGCATAATGAGGAGCTTCATAACTTGTACTCTTCTCCAAATATATTTAGAATGATCAAGTCAAGGAGGATGAGGTGGGCAGGTCATGTAGCACGAATGGGGGAGAGGAGGAATGCGTATAGGATATTGGTGGGAAAGCCAGAAGGGAAAACCAAGGCGTAGGTGGGTGGACAATATTAGAATGGATCTTATGAGAGACAGGATGGGATGATATGGACTGATTCGATTTGGCTCAGGATAGTGACCATTGTAGGGCTCTTGTGAACACGGTAAGGAACCTTCGGGTTCCATAAAATGCTAAGAAATTCTTGAGTAGCTGCAGATTAACTTCTCTTCAAGAAGGGCTCAGCTCCATAATTAGTAAGTATTTAGAATGTTAATCATTCGGCCGCGGCCGCTACCCTCAGTCAAGTTCCCTCATTTTGTGATTCTTGTCTTCTCTGATTGGTGCAGGTTGTTCGGGACCAAGTGTGACAAGTGCGGACTGAGTTTCAGCAAAACCGACTTCGTCATGCGAGCCAAAACGAAGATCTACCACATCGAGTGTTTTCGGTGTAGCGCCTGTGAACGACATCTGATCCCGGGAGACGAGTTTGCGCTCCGTGAAGATGGGCTGTTCTGCAAGGAGGACCACGAAGTGCTGGAAAAGGCGACGAACCGCGAGAACAACAACAACACGACCAACGTGAACAACAACAACAGTAGTCATAACAATAATAACGAGGGCTCCAATTCAGGTAGGATAAGCAATTTGTCCCATATAATGTAGCTGTTGGTGAAAACCTGATCTTTATTACTTGCCGGTACCGAATGAAACTTTTAGATCATTTATTTTATTGCCCGTCATGTTTTGGGCACGCGGTAGCGTAGTTAGTTGAGGCACTATGCTACAAGCTGGAAGGTAGTGGGTTCCATTCCCGATGAAGTTATTGGATTTTACAATTGACCTAATTCTTCCAGCCGGGCTAGGAGCCTGGGGTCGGCTCAGCCTTTAACAGAAATGAGTGCCAGGAATCTTCTTAGAGGTAAAAAGCGGCCGGTGCTTAAGGCTGACTATCTTACCTCAATTTGTGAGCCGATTGTCTGCAAGAATGTCTGAGCCTCGACGTCTCGCAACCCTATGAGCCTTAACGGCCTATTACAATGATAGCTTTACCTTTTTTTTTAATTTTAACCCTGATGGTTTCTTCTGGTTACGGTCATCAAGCTGAAATAAATAATAATATTGCATGTTCATATGTGTAGCACAATCTGTTACTTTTAAGGGAAAAAAAAGCATAAAATTTCAGGTATTTTAAACTTCTGTCGTTCTCTTAGTATTGGACAGTAGAGAAATAAGTTTTGGGGGTGTGTATTATGTTCATCTGGCTCAGGATAAATACCAGTGACCGGTTCTTATGAACCACGTAATGAACCTTCGGCTCCCGCAAAACCCTGGGAATTTCTTGTGTGGATGAGCAACTGGTAGCTACTTAAGGACTCAACGTCATGGAGTCCAGTTCAATTGCTTTTCCACTCTATAAAGAACGTAACTTAGCGACTCCTTGACATTCGAACATTGAAATCTTATGTTCACTTTTATTGTTCATTCCAAATTCCCTGTCCAATCCGAGGCCCTATGCAACATTTCACAATATTAGTTTTTTTTTCAACAACGAAGAAACATTTTCAGCCCTCCCAACCACCAGACTGGAGGACCATCAATTATGGGCTAGCCGCAAATAATTATTGAAGGTATTGTCAGCTGCCTGGCATATCTGGAGCCTCTGGTCAGGTTTCTTGCTAGCCTGATCCTCAGGTTAGCAGTTTCACTAGGCATGGTTGTAAGTGACAAATTTTTTCGTTGATAAAAGTAAATTTACTTGTCAATTCTTCTGAGCAAGTTGTCTAAAATATGTTTGTAAATGTAGGCTTTTACCTTGTTGAGCACAATCGTGCAATTTTCATAAGCAAGTCATAAAGTTATATTAGATATACAAACCATGCGTCTCTTAACATTTCGTGCCACAGTGCATTGCATTGTTAGTAAAAATTGGAGAAGTTAATTTACATGTTATTCTTTCAATTAAGGCGTCGGAATAGCTCTTCCGGTATAGCTACGGGCTACGTGCTGGACGACCGGTATTTGAGTCCCTGTTTTGGCAAGATTTTCCTCCACTTCACAGTGTGCAGACCTGCTCTGGGACCCATCAGCTCCCTATCAAATAGGAACTGGGCGCCCTTTCCACGGGGGTAAAGCGGCAGGGGCCTAAAGCTGACCACTCATCTCCCTCTACTGCCGGGGTCAAGAAAGGTGGAGTTATAATTCCATCCTGCATGTATATTCAAGGAATAGTGCTTAATTAATTAAACACATGGACAGAGTTACATTTATCTTTTACATTCTCATTTAACAGAGATTAAATGTAGGTCTACATGGAGATTTATGACGTAACAGTACAAAATGGACATACACATTGTTCCACGATTTTGGATTGTAAATATTCAGTGTAAATGTCGATTTGATTTGAATTTATTAACCCCATTTATATAACTGTAAGTTTCGTATAAAAGCTGATCTTCATATCATTAAAACTTTGTGTAACAAATTCTGACACAATTTTTTCATATCTTCCAAGATATTTATAAACGTATCTGAACACACAATCCCCTGTAAACAGGTTGCTGCACTGTAGTTAGTCAAGTTTCGTTATTACAACATGGCGACCCTTCAAGAGGCGTAGCGTTTGAGAGACTTTATCTCAAGAGACCCCGTATTCGCATCTTGGACCGAAGGCCGGCTGCGTTGAAGTTCTTCCTTGGAAGGCTGCCTCAGAGTAGCTCACATCCGTTTCCTTTCAATCATCTTATAATTATCATTAAAGAATCGACCTATCTTTCGACGCTGTGTAACCTTCAGAGGTGATAAAGCAGAACTTCCTATATTCATGAGCCTCGTAGTCTGATACCAAGGAGGCTGAAAGCATCGGGGCAGGAGAACATAAATGCATATATGTTTCTGGTCTGAAAACTTGAAGAAACAAATCGCTTTGAGAATACAGGCATAGATCGAATGACAATATATATAGTAATAAGTTGAGAACCCGCCTATAGAATAGACCCAAAGCTCTTGTAAACACTGCTATGAGCCTTCGGATACTATAGAAGCTGCAGCCTATCTTGACAAGCTGAACAACTGTTAACTGCTCAAGAAAGAGTGCTCCATGGAGTTAATCGATGAAGCTCTGTGATTTTACTGATTCTTTGGGCAAAATCTGCCCCATTCCTTTCTTTGGTATCCTGTCTAAATAGTCATTGAGAAATCATCCTGCCATTTGGCGCTATATAATATCAATAGTTGATAAGATGTCACAGAATAATCCTAAATCAATCAACCACAATTCAGTTCACGATTGAAATTGGTCATCTCTGATTTCCTGTAACATTTAGTATGAATGGAAAAGAATTACTTACATCCCCCCCCCCTTGTTCGCCCTTCTTTCAATATTTGTCATGGACGTCGTCTTACCTCTCCTCCAGTTCTGACAATCGCCTGGAATACGGAGTTTAGTAAAATTCGGTAGAAGAAAGGAAGGTCATAAATATCCAGTGATTGTTGTGCCCATCCACATTGATACTGTAATTTGTACAAGCTTTTAAAGCAGAAGCAGCCTATCCTAAATTAAGGAACTTCTTTCGAACCCCATCTGTTATGTCCACAAGATCTAGAAGTCGTCAGCTGGTTGCTATCACCCAAGTGTTCATTTTCGCCTCCTATATTTACAGCGACGTATGGTGGTTATACATTCTCTGGCAGTGCCAGACGAACTTCCTAGCGTTCCAGATATTTCCATGGAAATATGGCTCGTTCTTCGTGTTCACAGCTCATACTATTCTTGGATTTACTTTGTGATTTGCTTTCCAGTTCTGAGCAGTTCGTTTCCGTCTCGTATTTTGACCTGAAATTGCTCTGAGCCCATACTGATGAGTTCCTCTCCCTAGTTTCAATATATAAAGTAGGTCGAGACTGAAGGCACTCACACACTGTATATTGACACTTAAGCATATGGATACTTAAGTAAAATTGGTTTAATTTTACTTGGATATTTATCGTGGCATTTATGTAATCGGTTTAGTGTCTTTCTCTTTAAAACAAGTCCAGAAATGTTGAAGAAAGTGAGAAATGGGATTCTAAATTTATTTTTAGGCCCATGTTTACTTTTGAAACCTGATATTTCATCTACTAAATTAATTTATGTTGTTAATATCTACCGTATGGGTACAGAATTTGAAAATAATTATTTCATAAATAACATATTAATTACGATAAACTTTAGACCCTGATGTTTTTAACTGACACGAGGCATTTTCCTAGTAAAGTCATAGACTGAAACACTTTGCGTTGACTTGATATCATGTGGGTTCATTGACCTCTTTATAAATTTAAGTCGACTAAAATTCTTCTCCTGTCATTTTGGCATGTTCCCCTTAGAATTTTTTGGGACAGAGTATATTTGGTATAAATCTTCAATAAGGGATGAATCCAGAGTTAGGTTTCTGTCATTAAAATATAAATAAGAAACAGACAAAATTATATATATCCCAACAGAAATTCAAATGCGTGGTTCCAGAGGGCAGGAACCCCAACGTACGTGGTTATCGAGACTGTGGTTCCAGTTTTGATGGATTAGACTCTTCTGGTCTCTTTCTTCAGAGATAATTTTGAAACAGCTAGTGAATGAATGAATGAGTTAACGAATGAACAAAATGAACGCATAAATGAATACTCTAATAGGTCTAGTAGAGTTTGCACTCCGGAAATATGGAGTTTCACTCCATTGTCGTACGTTTTGGCATCCAGCTTAAATCACCATTCACGTAGTACAGAACTCATATAAAACAAAACAAACTCCCTAGCCTGTAGTCCGCAAGCGAACTATGCCGACTGAACGACCGCCGCTTGTCGGCGAATTTACTCGTAGTGTCAACTTTAGCGGATAAAAGGTGTCGCGTGGTCAGCGCAATGAATCTCCCACGGCCGTTAATCTAGGATTTCTAGACCTGAAATAGCTTCTCAATTATCCTCACGAGGCTGCGTGGGCCCCGTTCCAGACCCACTACTTCTCAGAAAATCTGGTAGCCCCGGGAATTGAACCCGTGACCTCTAGATCTGTAGACAGAAACTCTGACCACTAGACCACACAGGCAGTCACAGAACTCATATATTGTGCATAAAGATTTAATTACACATAACCTATTGCTACCTCTGCCAATTGCTACTCATTTAAATTCACTTCTATTTCGCTCCCATTCTCCCTTACCGTCCTATCCAATTTCTCTTTGTATGTAATCACATATATTCCTGTCTTCTGCCATTGCTCCTATTTCTTGCATCGCACGGTCCGCCTAATAAATTTTCACTTCTTGTTCGCCGTCACTCATGCAAACTTGTGTTAACAATCGATTTCCTAGCAGTGGATTATTTTGTCACAACATTATTTAGGAAAATTTCAGTCTTTAAATTGTTAACGTTGTCTACAATCTTGAAGCTAGTGAAAGTTGAGTCTGCATAATTTAACAACTTCTACAATGTCCACAGAGTAATGAAATTATGTACACGCATCGCTGGAGTATTGGAAACGCAAATTTTAATCCAGCTAGGTACACGGGCAAAATTTATGTATTTTTCTCTATTACCTTAAGTATTTTCTTTTTAGCTAGTGGGGTGGGACTAAGTCCCTTGTACTGCGGCCACTTC